TGACATGGAAAACTGCACTGAAGATTGCACAGGACAGGAAAGCATGGAAAGTCCTCTCTGAAGCCTCATGTGCCACTAGGCATAACGAGAACTGATGATGATGAACGAACGAACTTTATGTATAAGTCAGTGTCGTATCCTTTACAGGACGTTGCAGAACCAACTCAAGCACTTTTATGCTGTTGTGAGATTTTTATGGGCGAATTTACGTTAAGTAGTTTGCCATTGCTTCTGGACGGTCAGCCTCTCGATACCACTGTCGAAACCAACGCAAGGCTGGTATCGAACCCGGCACCCTGACATTACGAAGCGTGTTCGTAACGCCTTATCTACAGAGGCCGAAATTTAAATATATATATATATATATATATATATATATATATATATATATATATATATAATATATATATATATATACCCACACAAATATATGCATGTACAATTACACACACACACACACATATATATACATATATATATATATATATATATATATATATATATATTATATATATATATATATATATATATATATATATATATATATATATAATACATACATACACACACTTACACATACACGTGTACACACCTACTATGTAATGCAAGTATACGTTTATGCATACATACATGAATAGGTATATACACGCATACACTCAACGGAGCCTCCAGATTGTAGCGACCAGACTCTCGCCTGCGGATCTTAATGTTGGATATGATACTCCTACGCTACATGTAGTTTTGCCAGTTTCGTATTATGTGAGCCTCGGCAACAAGTTTGGGTCTTCCGGTTTGTGTATGTGACACTTTATCAATATCCACTACTATATGGGAATAGGAAATGAAGAGAACCCTAAAACGAATGTTGATGACAGTAACTAGTTACCGTCCATGATATTCAAGGGATTGTACAGGATAGAAAGGAATGCAGGAATAGACTATGAGCCCTATATGACATGTAATTACATAACAGGACAATTATGATGGTGATAATGATGATGATGACAAGCAAAACAGATGAATGATACTTGATGGGCCAAAGAGAGCCACCGCTCCCCCCCCCCGCCCTCCCCAAAAAAAGTCATATTGTTACTTATGTATGAAATTCTGCATACTGAAATGAGAAATTGACAATCTACAAGTACAACGAAGACGATCTGGATAAATAGAGGCATATGCTCAGCTCAGAAAATGAACATGCATATGCAAATACCAAACAGTCTCTGAAGCACTTCTTCTTCGCGTTCACTAGCTGTAAACTCCGGCGATAAGTCTTTGTTATTATTAGTCCATTCTGGATTTTGGTGTTGTTCCAGGACTTGAGTGGGGCATAGACATCCACTTTTGCAGATCTGGCCTTTTGTGTGCTCACACCAACTTGAGAGCAAACGTCTATTCTGTCTAGGTTGGGCATGCTCCCACTTGAGAATCTGTTGTTCGGATGACCGCAGTGAGGTGTAGACAAGCCTTGACCAGTATGAGCTCTGGTCCTGTTGCACTGCCACCATCTGTTGCTCAGCACCTCTGTATCACTCTCACAAGAACCATAATCAGACTACGTATAATATTTTGTGTAGAGTAATTGCCCCTTATAATATGTAAGAGGCGCACAGGTAAGTAAGTTTTACCTACCAGGACATTACACGCAGCGAGAAACACCCGGTGACATGAAGTGAAATCATGCGGATGAGTATCACCCTAGGAGAGGTCTTAGAAACCATGTTCAAACGTTACGTTATATTAGGGCCCCCGACAATAGCCAGCATAGGGCTTCAAAATAACGAAAACTTGCGTCCCATAACTTGACGACAATGTGTTCTTACAGCGTGATAAAAATAGTGTCTCTCCTCATATCTTTGTGGGATGCAATTTTTAGTTCTTTTGAAGCCCCACACTAGTTTTTGCCGGGGAGCCTAGCCACACCTTAAATATGGCCTAACGGCTGAACGGGGTTTCCGGCACCTCTCAACAAGTGATCCTCTTCTGCATGGTGGCACATTATGTCACCGGGTGATTAACGCTTGTGTTTTGTCCTGGTGGGGTAAAACTAACATGCACGCATACACATAAAAATGGGTGACAGCAGTAGTTAATTTCTAATCATAATTTTTTTTAAATTATTATTATTCTTAATAGTCCCCCTCTCCCACCCACATAATTCTTGCATTTGGTATGTTCAACATCTCAAGGTTGAGAATTACAGAGGTACACATCCCAGTCATCCCCCCCCCCTTTTTTCATTCCCCCCCCCCCACCCACCCGGGCCGTTTGTGATATAGCCACATACTGGGAGCACAAAACAGTTTTGGGGACGCTGATTAGTAACAGTAAAAATTACAGATATAGAACAGCTTTTAATGCATTCTGGCCTTATGGAGTCCGAGGTATTGTGATCTCACCTGATCAACGTATGGATAGGCATCCTCTGTATCAATTCCCTTGTTGCTGATTACGTAATTAAAAGCGTTATCCATCGAATCCCCGTTGCACCCATCTTTACCTGAAAGTAATAACCGAACAACATACATAACGGTGAGCAGTGGATCGTCCTGGGACTGTAATCAAATAGAGTAAGGAAGGAGTTAAATAAAGAATGCATACATTCAGACCACCATCAAGGCATGTCAATCCATCACCGGGTGGTATGACAGAAAACGGTGATTAGAACGCTGGTCAGACAAAGCAAAACAGATAAACGAGTTGCACTGTGACCAGGGTTAAATAGAGTACGGTTATCCAAACGTGACCACCGGAGAGGAGTGACAGGGGTGATTGAGAACTCACGCTGGAAGGAGAGAGGAAGCGGGGGTGAAGATATCTGAGCGAAGAGAGAGACAAGGCAGACAGAAGCGGGACGCTAGAAGAGATATATATATATATATATATATATATATATATATATATATATATATATATATATAATATATATATTATATATAATATATATATATATATATATATATATATATGTATATATAACTTTGAGTTTAGTAGACAGTGATTAAGGAACTTATAGAGAGACAAATGAATAATCAACAATAAGATAATTAAGTGTTCCTATACTATTGATCAAATGAAATTATTCGTACTGCTTGACTTGCCAATATTGTTAAAATAAACAAACACAATTGTAATAGTTTGTTACATCACTGGCCGTGTTGTTGAGTACGATCAAGAGAGCTACAAACTGTATCCATTACACACAATGTCCGAAAGAGGCACATCTATTCCTGGAAAGATGTGAAAGAAACAACTGTGTCACAGGACTACCCCAGAGGACTGTAATTCCCTATTGTTCTTCAATGCCCAAGCAGGCAGGATTGCATTGCATGAAGTACCAGGGGCTGGAAGGATACTGACATTTGCAGATTATATTCTTGAATATAGACTATGGAGCAATATGCAACAAATGAAATAAATGCAACCATAGACAAATTGTCTGACTGGTATGCAGTAATGAGGGCTGTCATCCGTCCAGAACACTGGCTGTTTTATGGTGCTCTCTGGACAATAGACTTGTTGTAAGAGCTGATGTTCAAAGTCTCACACTTAATGATAAAAACGTCAAAACAGAATGCAAACTAAGCTACTTGGCTATAACTTTTTGATAGAAGACTGTCCATAAGGGTTCATGTGGAGGCAGCTGCTGCAATCTGCAAAGAAAAGACTCAGTGCGTTTAAGGTTATGGCAGGAAGGGACATGGAAAAAAAGAATGCTGTTCACAATGTTTAAGCATGTGATCCTGTCGGTGACAGATTACTGGCTTGGAAATCTTACCATATCAGAGTCAGCTAATGAAACCTGAACGCATACAGAACCCAGGTGGGTATTTCTAAGATGTACAAAGATACCCGGTAGTATGTATGCGATGCATACTTGCACTGCCGATTATTTACAGACAAGCTCAAAATGCTACAAGAAATGTCATATCTCAGAGTAGCCGCAGACAAGAAACATCTGCTTCATGAAGCCACAGACAGAGCTACGGGTCACATACAGAACAGAGGCAGGCCTTGGACGGCGCAAGCTGAAGACACAATTAGACATGTGTGCAGCCTTGATAACACTGGGCGAGGAGCGAAGTGGGTTAGAGTGTCCAATCAAAGGTCAGGCGTGTTTATGTTTCTGAAAACAATTGGCCGTAACTTCAGGGATGGGCAAGCTGAATCTGCAGAATCTGAAGTTCTACAACTGATGACAATTTTAGCTAAGAAGATATAATGCTCAATACAGATGGCTCTGTGTTGAGACAGACGAAGTTCATGGGGGTTCTTTTAAAAAACAAATTGACGTGGCTTGTGCAACACAGCCGTGAATATCATACACCACATCCAGTTTGAGAATAGAAGTGTAGGCAGTCACCGCAGCCTTTCGCTGTCTTGAGAATCAACTGTTACACATATAATAACTGTAATCGACTCACATAGTATGGTGAGACAGGCAGAGACCGGTGTGTTGTGTGAAGAGTGATAAGCATCGCTTTAGAGATCCCATACAATACAGATACAATCATCCAATGCTACGCACCGACAAATGAAGCTGAAAACGAAGATATAGAAACATTCTTTAGGAGAATGCAAGAGGTAGTAGATAAAGTACCAGCCCATGATATTCTATGCATTATGGGAGGTCTCAATGCAAAAGTTGGTAACAACAACTTGAATAGAGAACTATCAATGGGAAATCAAGGATGTGGTACAATTAATGACAACGGAGAAAGACTGGGCGACTTCTGCAGGGCGAATAGACGTGTTATAGGAGGAACACTATTTCCTCACAAGAATATACACAAGCTTACATGGATATCCCCAAACAGAAGAGATGTAAACCAGATCGACCATTTCATGGTAAACAGAAAATTGCGTGGGTCCCTACTCGATGTGCGTGTCAAAAGGGGAGCAGACGTAGGAAGCGATCATCATCTTGTATTTTCTTTACTACGACTTAAACTCAAAAAAGACACAGACAGCACGCTACAATGTTAACCTTTTAAGAGAAAAAGACATTGCCACTAAATTTATAGTAAAACTCAAGAATAGATTTCAAACCCTATCAAGTGACCCAGACACTTAAACTACAATCAGCATTCAAGATAGATGGAACCAGATCAAAAAAACATACAAATCAACTAGCAATAACAAATTAGGAACCAGGAAACAACACCACAAAGAATAGATAAGCAGTCAAACCATGGGCTATATTGCCAAGCGAAAAAGAATAAAGAGCCTCATAAATCCCACTAAATCAGAACGCCAGAAAGACAAACTAATGTTAGAATATAGCGAACTAAACAAAATGACCAAGAAAAGTGCCAGAGCTGACAAGAGAAGATTTATGGAAAGTCTTGCAGAAACAGCAGAAAATGCTGCTAAAGCTCATGATATACAAACCCTACACAAAATTACCCAGCAAATTTGCGGAAGCAGAAACAATTATGACAGCATACCCATCAGAGATAACCAAGGCAGACTGCTCACCACAGAACAAAAACAAGACATGCAGTGAACTAAACACTTCTCCGACCTCTTGAACAGACCTGATCCTGAAAATCTCGCAGATATTCAACCAGCCTCCCAGGATATTGACATTATCACCGAACCACCAAGCAAACAAGAAATCTTTAAAGTTATATACAATTTAAAGAACAACAAAGCACCAGGTAAAGACGAACTGCCAGCAGAACTTCTCAAAATAGATCCCAACACAACTGCTAGCATTCTAGAACCATTGTCCAAGGATATTTGGGAAAAAAGAAGTGTTGCATGTTGACTGGAATGAAGGAACAATAGTCAAAACCCCCAAAAAACGAGACTTAACAGACTGCTCTCAGTACCAAGCAAAATATTTTGTAAAATCATCATAATGAGGCTTGAAAATGAAGTAGATAAATGCCTACGAGTGGAGTAAGCAGGATTCAGAAAGGGCAGAGGAACAACTAAGCACATCTTCGCCATACCTAGTATTTTAGAGCGGTGCCATGAATGGCAGAGAAGTATATATATTAATTTTGTGGACTTGGAGAAAGCTTTTGACAGCGTCCATAGAGACGGACTGTGGAAAATTTTACGACATTATGAAATTCTAGACAAAATAGTCAACATATTCGCTCTCTTCTATAAAGACTTTTCCTGCAGTTTAAAAAATTACAATACATCTTTCCAAGTAAAGACAGGTGTAAGACAGGGATGTGTTATGTCATCTCTCCTCTTCAATCTTGTGATTGATTGGATACTAAAAAACACAGTAGACAGGACATTAAGAGGCATACGATGGACTCCATTCACCATGCTTGAGGACCTTGATTTTGCAGATGATTTAGCACTCCTATTACATAAACATGAACACATTCAAAAAAAAAAAAAAAAAAGTAACAGACTTAACAAAACAGAAGAAATGGTGTGATTGAGAATAAATACAAAGAAAACCAAGATCATGACAAACAGTCCGAACCAACAACCAGTGGCCATAAATAACCAAACTCTTGAAAATGTAGAACATTTCACATATCTTGGCAGTGTGGTGTCTCTGTCACCAAATGCTGTTACGCCGAGGGCGGGGGCTGAGGATAAGCTCTCAGTCTAAATGAAATACCCTTAAGGCATGCGTCTCTCAAAGCCTCTAACAGCAAAAGTCCAAATCCTGGCCTTCTCGTGGCGGAGATGTTTAAACTAACAGGAGAAGGGGCGAAAGCGGGTCTCTGGCGCTTTAACCAGACGCTTCGGGTAGATGAGGCTCGTCAGTACGGGAGTGCAGCTCATCTAGGAGAAGGAAAACTCTGATTTCAAACCACGGGCAGATGAGGCTCGCCAGCACGGGAGTGCAGCTCATCTAGGAAAAGGTAAACTCTGACTACACACCTCCACTGCCTTGTGGCTATACCCATGTTTGGGAAAGCGCTTCGGGAGTAAACCCTGAGGAAAAATCCGGAGCTGGAATTCCTAAGGCGGTGTTTAGCATTGTATACAGTGCTATTCCGGCAATTCCTGCAACGTCCTCGGTGCCAAGTTGTACTGGTTTTTGCCTTTCCCTTGGTATCACCGGCGACGTGGAGAGGGAGTACTTGCTGCCTGGGCAACAGTCTGTACTCCAAATCAAAACGCCCTGGCCTGTGCCCTGGAGAGCAAACAGCAGTCACCGGTTATAAGCCTTTGCTCAATTGGAGCTAGGCGCCAGGAATTGTTTCCGACGGTGGGAGAGACCATCGTAGTCTCACTGGACAGCTACCGCCCGCCTCAGCTGGGCAGCCCCCAGTCAGTAAGGTGTTGTCCCGCCACGATCCGTTTGCCTTGTTGGGTGCACAGGGCTTAGGGGATAACCCGACATACGGATTGTAATCCTTGTACCTACATAAAGAAGCCAAAAAATCAGATTCCCAGCTCTAAAGCTGGGCACATGGAACGTGAGGACCATGACACCTGGTATTCTGGACAATCTGCAGCAAATGAGCGATGTAAGGAAAACTGCAGTCATTAACAATGAACTGTCCCGTTTGAACGTAG